ACCAAACTGTGATTACGAAGGTTTACAGTTCTAAGGATAATATGAAGTCCACAAGGCATGTTAAGAGATGACTAAAATCTATCAGAAAATTGAGAAACTCTGGAGTAATAGCGTTGGACTATGTTCACAGGTCTAACAATCTGGCAGATCAATTCACTAAGGGTCTGTCACGCAATATGATAGAAAGTGCATCGAGAGAGATGGGTTTGAGACCCACTTGAAATTTACTATAGTGGTAACCTGTTCTATGTGATCGGAGATTCCGTGAAGTAGAATGGTGAAACAAGCTAGTAGTAAATTATGAGGAAAGATCCTTGGTAAGACTCATTTTTTATGCACATCTTTCCTATCTGTAAGGCAGGTTGGTTTTTACCTTAATGTGTTCCTAGCGGCTTGCTAAAGCAAAGATGTTGTTCTACAGAATATCTTTTGAGGAGCACACCTATATGAGTCAGGCTGCTGGTCATAGTCTATGATATTTGGGTGATCTCTAAATACTCATGAAAGGCACTGGAGTATGACTTATATGCTTCAAATAGAGGGGATACCTTTTGCAGCCAAGTATCAGCTAAGGACTTTAGTGACATTCACCTCACACAAAACTGGCAATTCAAGGCCTAGTCCATTGTTCAGTTGTGACTGAGTGAAACTATTGCTCTAGATGGATGTTTAACTTAACAGTCTCCATCGAAACACTGGTATATAAAAGAAATGTGGTTCTAAGACTACTTTGTTACAAACCTTAGAGTTTGGTGGTGATTGTTGGATATTATATGGGCTTGGCCCATATAATATTTAATAAATCAAATAAAACTCTATGGTATGTAACATTAAGCGTTGTATGGTTTAATACCATACGGGATTTTGACTGAACGTTGACTCAGCTTATATGGTTGGAAATTATTCATCTAAATTGAGAAGCTGAGAAAAGGATAAAGGCGTGCCACACGCGCGCGCGCTGCCGCCACCGCCGGCCAGGCCGGGCCGTGGTCGTGGCCGCGCCGTGGTGTGGCGTGGCGAGGCGGCGATTAGGTTTTTGGGGAGCGATCCATGACTGCTCATCCACGTACGTCTTCTTCTTAGTGGTGATCGCTCTTGGATCCCGTCCTCTTCCTGGTGGTTGCCTGCGAAACATCAAGGCGTCTTCTTCCTGGTGATCCGTTCGTGGGACTACACTACGAACATCGTCTTGCACCGACTGTGGTCCATGACTTCGAGCAACGCACTATGTCCACTAGTGCGAATAGAGCCTCCGATGCTCTCGGCATGGGACCCTCCGCTGGGTACAGTCTAATCTTTCTGATTACTGTAATATGTGCTTTTACTGTATTTATCTGTATGTTATCTCTGTATGCTATAGCGTTCGTTAAAGATATACACAAGCACATATATGTCATCATGAACCTGCTGATGTTATTTTTCTGGATTAAATTGATAATGAAAATACCTAAATTTCTAACAATATTCACGCATGGAATGGAATCTGATTCCAAAAATACTCGAATACAGAGCGTTTGCATAACCCAATTTGGAAACAAATATCTCTAAACCTCTGGTAGCTAAACGAGTTAGAGCAGTACTACACAAATGTTGTGTAGGGGCGGCTTCTGATGGTTCGTAGAGGCGGTTTTTCCAACCGCCCCTACCGAAGGGTGGCTATAAATAGCCGATTTATAGGGGTGGTTTGCCACTATTTGTAGAGACGGCTGGATAATGAACCGTCTCTACAAATTTATTTAAAAAAATTCACAGATCCAGGACAAAAAAAGTAAAAAAAATTAATCTGCGGAGACCCCCACCGGTTAGCCACACGTCGCAAGTCACACATTTTTTCGCGTGCTTCATGGCCACCGGGGTTCGAACCCGTGACCTCGGGCTTCGCGTGTTCCCTCCTCTAACCACTTCACCCATCACTCACTTATGTCTATAATTGATTTTCTTTCCCCCACATAATATGTTAAACTGAGTTTAAATTGATTGTTTGAGGCTCTAAACAAATTCAAATAAAAAAGTTGTCAACTACAAAGTTTCATAACTTTTTTGAGACCTACAACTTTTATTTTGGTAGTTTCTCCATCCGAGGTCGTTCATAAAATTTGAATTTCAAATTTAAGAAATTAAAATGTGTTTTTTTATAAGATAATTTCAAATCAAAAAGTTATCAACTACAAAGGTTCATAACTTTTCGATATCTACAACTTTCATTTTTGTTGTTTGTCCATCGGAGGTCGTTTAAAAAATCAAATTTCAAATTTTTAGAAATTCAAATATAGTTTTCCTTGACGAGATGATCTCAAATGAAAAAGTTATCAATTATAAGGTTTCATAACTTTTCGAGATCTATAATTTTCATTTTGGTAGTTTCTCCATCTGAGATCGTTTGAAAAATTTGAAATTCAAATATGAGAAATTCAAACGTAGTTTTCCTTGACAAAATAAATTCAAATAAAAAAGTTGTCAACTACAAAGTTCTATAAATTTTCAAGATCTATAACTTGTATTTTGTTCATTTGGTCATCCAACATAGTGGTAATAACATTGTTCACAAACTTTACATATCTCTCTTATAGTTTATGAAATTATAAGAGCAATATGTAAATTTTGTGAATAATATTACTACCACTTTGTCGGATGAAAAAATAATCAAAATAAAGTTGTAGACCTTTATAAGTTCTACAAATTTTATGTTCATGACTTTTTTAGCAGAAATCATTTAATGTTTCAAAATGACGTTTGAAGTTGCTATTTTTTGAAATTCAAAATTCAAATAGATAAAACACAGTCACATGAAAAGATAGACAAAATAATAGCTGTAAGAACGTAACAAACTGATAGAGCATGATTTTAGAAAATTTTAGAAAAAAATCATCAAATTTGAAGTTAACATGAGGGAGAAAGACTAGTTACAAGTTTTAACCAGAGATTAAAAAGAGAAATTAGTGTTTTTCAACAAATTCAAAATTAAATTTTGAACAGCATTTTGAATAAGTAAATAATTTCAAATGAAAAAATTGTAAACAACAAAGTTTCATTACTTTTCGAGATCTACAACTTTTATTTTGGTCATTTCTCCATCCAAGGTTGTTTGAAAAATTCAAATTTTAGTGCTTTATTTTTACTATTCGACGTCTATTCCCATTTGTAGGGGCGGCTGATATAGAGCCGCCCCTACAAATTAAATCATTTGTAGGGGCGGCTAATAGCACCAGCAGTCCCTACAAATGGATTCGTAGGGACGGCTCGTTTGGGCGCCATTTGTAGGGGCGGCTCAATATAGAGCCGCCCCTAAAAATAGGGCGTGTTGCTACAAATCTTTTTTGTAGTAGTGGGACACTGCGCAACAAATTGTATATCTTGTTGTAACATACGGGTTCATCCAGACTTCCGTCCTTCACACTATCTTTTGGTATATCGGTTACTCCACTGCCCCGAGAATAAGAGTTATGGTCGATTTTACTAAGAGTAAGAGACAATGAATTTCATAAGAGTCTTAATTGGTTTATTATCAAATCGTGACCCGAACTAACGACCTCGTGCTTAACAACCTAGAATAGCGTGTGCCTAATCGACTGAACAACTTGCATCCTTTTGCTAGTATATTCATATAACTTGTGAAAATAGGGCATAATTTGTGAACATAAAATTGTAGACACAAAACTTTTGGGTACAATTTGTTGAAACAAAGAGTTATGCCCAAAGTTTCTTAAAATTTCGTTTGCACAAAATCAGCCACAAACAATTTCCAAATAAAAGTTATGGAAACATTTTTTTTTTAAATCATGCATACTAAAATTTGATTGGATTTGAGACAAGGTAATAAATAGTGGCGGTAGCGGCCCATTGTCGCTACCGCTACAAGGTAGCACTATGAAGTTTGCAGCCTGCAACTTTGTGGCTGCAATTCCAAATAGTGGGACGATATTGCGGGCCGCAATTGCACGTAGCATGCCCCAATAGCGTGGAAACAAATAACCCTTATGCATGTGGAGATGGTTCAAGTGACATGAGGCCAATGATGTTGTTGTTTCCAACAATGACAACGAGTGACAGTATTGTGAACTATTTTATGGCTCATAAATCATATTATGTTTCTTTGTAAACTCTTAATGTGTGGGACACCATGTTTGTTTTCTTAATTTAAGTATGTGAGATATAAGTTCTTTGGGTGCAATTAAATGTCTATTTATACTCATTATTTTTTATATATGTACTTAAAATTATGTGAGATTATCAGGTGTCGCTATAACTTGTCGTCCGCAATATCGCCCGCTTCCCGCAATCCGCTACCTCAAAGCCAATCCGCTACCAGCCCGCTACATGCTATTTATTACCTTGATTTGAGATGAGAAAGAGGAGATTTTTTTCTACCGCTAGGGGCTCAAGTCGATGTGCTCAAGTCGTCGCTCGCTCACTGGGGACCGAACTCCCGCCACCAGGTCGACGTCGACCTAGACGGCCCATGGGCCGTCGAGGTCGTGAAGCAGCCGTCCTTTAAACTTGTCACCAAGCCCCTACTCTCTGCTAAAAAAATAAAGAAAAAAAGGATCTATCTACTTAGAAACCGGTTGTTTCGTGCCCAACAACCGGTTGTTGGGAAGCACCAAAACAACCGGATCTCCAAACAAATACAATCCGGTTGTTTTGGGTACATCAAACAACTGGATTTCTGAACCTCAGATCAAAATCTGATGGTCCAAATAAAATAACACAAAAATACTACCAAATAACAAAACTAATGGCAAAAATACTATACAGAAAAAACTAAATATCACAATAATTAATACCAGTCACAATAAAAAAAATCAGCACACATGATACTTAAAATCTCTACTGCCAAACGAGAAACAAATTATACAAAAAAAATTATATCAACAAAGATATAAAGTTACACCACTCTAACAACAAATTTATAGTGATCAAATGAACGTAAATATAGTTATATGACAATGCAACAATAATAAACAATATAAAGTTAGCACTACCTATGCTGCCAAATTGACTTATACTGTCATATTGAATAGATCAAGGGAACTGCATGAAAAAACAGAAATAGTAATGAGGACAATAAAACTTAGAGAACAAACCCAATCATATATCACTCATTGACTAGATGAACAAACCACACAACCACACCACTGCACGGGCACTTACTTGTGAAGCTTGAGCACATTGAGCAACCACAGCTCATGAATCCTTTGGCCACAAACAGTGAAACAATGTCTCCATCAGCGAATCAAAAATTGAGTTGCTTGCAAAAACAGAAAAGAGAAATGTCAAATTCTTTAAAAAAATCCAAATATGTCCTATGGTAGACAAATACAAAAAAGAAATGGGCCAGATAATACACATGCAAAATAAATTCTAACAAAATAACAAAATCTGAAGAAACATATATTTCAAATAATTTCTATAGTAGCCAAATAACAAAAAAGAAATAGGACAGATACTTCACAAATGCAAAATATATTCTACAAAAAAAAAGAGATAATCTACACAAACAAATATTTCAAATATTTTCTTTGGTAGCCACATAACAAAACAGAAATAGGACACATACTACACAAATGAAAAAAAAATACAGCAACAAAATACTAAAACTACACTATGATTCTGAATAAATTACATTGAGTACTATTATGTAAAAATAGTAATGTTAACATATAACTGAACCTACATAGGAACACAGGCTTACATCTCAGCGACTACACAGTACACAGGACAGATAAAAGTAGAAGGGCTACACATTACAGTAGCTTACAAAGGCAAGCGATGATTACCTACGAAGAGGATTATGATGAGGACAGTGATTAGCCAGTATGGGAAGATGACGCTGAGCTCTACGCCGATGGTTATGCCGAGCATAAGCATGGGCTGGAAGAGCAGCGTGAGGTTGTAGTCGATGACGGGCGCCTCCTTGGTCGGGTGTGACACCTGGAGGAAATCTGCAGAAACATATATTTCAAATAATTTCTATAGTAGCCAAATAACAAAAAAGAGATAGGACAGATACTTCACAAATGCAAAATATATTCTACAAAAAAAGATAATCTACACAAACAGGTATTTCAAATATTTTCTATGGTAGCCAAAAAAACAAAAGAGAAATAGGACATATACTTCACTAATGAAAAAAAAATACAGCAACAAAATACTAAAATTACACTATGATTCTGAAAAAATTACATTGAGTACTATTATGTAAAAATAGTAATGTTAACATATAACTGAACCTACACATGACTGAAACTGTTAAAGGATGGCAGCACAAACTAATTTCCTCTACTGCCTTGTTGAGTATGCATACAAATATAAGTACCAAGTAAGAAACTACACTACTGCAACAATAACATCAACCCAATATACTCTAGAAACACCTGCAGTAAGATACTAATACATTGGGCAAAACTAAGAAACCAAACGCTTGACCATTCATTTGCTAAGACCAAAAGACGGTTTCGATACAAATGGAACCAAAACAAAAGCAATTAAAATATTGACTAGATGAATAGAACAGATTCAAACTAAAGAAAAATAATAATTTGGACAGTGAAACTTACATAAATTCACACTCCATATTAAGGAGCATGTAAGACAAACTGAATACAAGAAGACCTCTGATTGCCAATTTACATCAACCTGTCAAAGAAAATACACTTAAAAGTTTAGTGAAAATATATTATTATGACATTGTAAAAAGAGTAAACATCCATTATAATTCCAATCATAATTCACTGATTTGGTCTATAGACTAGAAATACAAATCACACAAGCACAACACTGCACACGCACTTGTCAGGCTTCAACATCTCGAGGAAGCACAACAGGTACATGCTGTGGCCACACCAGAACACCGATGTCTCTCTCATCAAATCAAAGATTGAGTCCCTGCCAACAATAGCAAAGGTGCCAAATTAAAAAGCAAAGAAAGGTGTACAGACGGCAGCAGCAGGCAGAACCAAAGAAAAAAGTAAGAATTCAAAAAAATGATACCTCAAAGATACTAATTGGATACTTGCACAGGCACTGAATAAAAGGAATTATTGCCATACTACTACTAGTAAATGACAAAATGATCATAAAAAAATAAAAATAGTTTCTATGGAAGGCAAAAAAAAGAATAGGACAGATACTAAAAAATGGAAAACAAATTAAATCAAACAAAATATAAACCTACACATGGCTGAAAGCCAAATACTTATAGCAACAAAATACTATAATTACAGTTCCATTTGAAAAAAAAATACATTGAGTCCTAGGATGTAAAAATAGTAATATTAGCATATAAGTTAACCTACACATAGCTCAAACTGTTAAAGGATGCAACCCTAAACTCATTTGCTCCATATCCTTGCCTAGTATACATACAAGTCTAACAACCAAGTATATGGAACACTACTACAAGGGTAGCATAAACCCAATCTAGTCCAAAAACATCTGCAGTAAGACAACACAAGTGGGCAAAACTATGATGCCAAAAACTTGACCAATTAGTTGCTAAAAACACAATGGCAGATTCTGAACAAAGAGCTGACTGACCAAAAGGTCACATCAACCATATCAAACATCTTGTATAACAAAACCTCACAAAAGTTCACGGCTAACTGATTAACCTGATAACTGCCTACAGGTCATCAACTACTACCTAAAATAACAAATTTAAATCAACATTTAAAAATAAAAGAAAAAGAAATGACAAGAGAGAGAGTAACTTATCTGTATCATTATCAAAACTTCCAATCATCATCATCAGAATGACCATGGCCACCATCATTACAATCCACATGGGAAACATAAGCACAATCAGACTTAGAAAAAAAATACAACAAACTAATTAAAGATAGAATATTACCTAATAACCTGACCATGTTGATAAGGCAGTAGATCACAAAGACAAATGTAAACCTCACAACCTCATAAATAAGCAAACACAGAAAAAAGATACAAAAAGAAAAAAAACACTAATTTATATTACAAACACTCAGATAATAAAGTTCCATACAAATTGTAGTTCCACAAACATAAATTGTTCAGTTATTACAAAAACAACTTGACACTTAAACAAAAGTTCCAGAAACATAATGCTGCTACTGATGACAACCAACTACTCCCCAATATCAGGAACCAACTGACGACATTTCACAGTCTGATAGATATCTTCTTCTTCTTCTGAACGAACCCTTATACTGAGAATACGATAGAACGACATTGTCTCACCAGCAACCTCAAAAGATCGCCCAGCCATCAGATTTGCATCCGATTCTTTAACCACCTTTACATACACAGTACTATTCGTTGGATCATATGCAAACTTGCAAGTAGGTAGAAAATTGCCACCACGATTCTGCTTAACAACCCGAGCCACTAATTTAGCTGGATTCTCACTGGTCAAACCCTTAGCAGCAATTAGCTGAGATTTCTCTTCAACAACTAGATCCAGATTATCAACAACAAACAAAGAAACAACTTCATCTTCTAGAGCAAATGGAACTGCAGCTTCAGGAGCAATTGAATTTTGTTGAGAAACAACCTAGAAAAAAGATTAACATGATAAAGTCCAAAAAAGATTAACTTATCAATCAATCAGTGACAAATCCAAAAATAATTAAATTAACAAAGATCAACAACCAAACAACTACATTTCTAGATTTTTTTAAAAAAGTACAAAGATAAAAAGAAAAGTACATTGATCCTTACTGGAATATCCATGAAAGCTTTGCAAGAGTCATTCCTCGAGACAATACTTTTCACTTGATACACATGAAGAGCACTGTCACCAACTTGAATAATACACTTGCTAAGTACTCGAGGAGGACGATCCCATTTAGCCAAAATATATAAAACACCGTTATGATCATCAACACAGAATTTGCTCTCATTCACCATCGTTCTCATAGTTACTGGATTGTGCTCAATATGTTTCAAACCACGAGCAACACTAGACACTGCATCACCACTAGGCATCGACCGCCTAACTGCAATCAAACGAGACTGCTCACCAATAGTCAAACTTAAAACCTCAATGACATACGTAGAAACAGCTCTGTTTTCCATGATACATGATATCTAAAAAAACAAAAGCATAAACTAATTCAGATCTATAACATAATACAATAAAACAATAAAATTACCAATTATTACTATAAAACAACTTACTAAAATTAACACTAGAAAATATTAAAAGAGAAGAATATATAACTAAACTAGACTAACCGTCATAATAGACACAAAAATTAACACTATAAAATAATAAACCGCTAAAGGAGTAATACCAGTCAAAATCAACACAGTGAGAGTAAATGCACAACCACCAACCAGTTACAGACAAAGAAAGTGGACCAAACATGCCATATAGGACTAACAAAGTCCAGAAAAAAGCCCATAAAAGAAAAGAATAAGTCCCTCTGCAACACCCAATCATTGTCACATACAACCAAACAGTTAGGACCTAACAACAATCAGACTACTAAAAAAGCCCAACAAAGATCCCATAAAAATAAACTAACTCATCCTATAAGGCCTAATAACCAACAGTTACAATGAACATTTATCAGACAATCAAAGAAAACAAAAAAAATTACACTACCACTGTTGATAGTAGTTAACAACCATTATAAATTGTCAATATAACATGCATAAGGACATAAATATGATCATCAACCAAGGTCTAGGGATCTAAACTAATAAATTCCATGAGTTTTGGTGAATCTGTGATTTTTGCAGGGTTTATCCAGAAAACCGTCAAGGTGGACATAGATGTCAGAATTAATTGCGCTTATTCACCGCGAAACGGACACTAGAAGGCTCTAGAAGACTCAAGAGGACTCCACACTGCCAGCCCCACCTAGAGGCCGCTCGGCCCCCTAGGGTCCCACCTGTTAGCCTCGTCGCAATGTCGGTTCTCCACCGCCTCCTAGGTTACATCTACGCTATCCTTTAAGTCGGTTTCATCCAAGGGCTCATGTTGGATGCTCTGGCCTATATATACCAGTCCCTACCACCCCCTCTGAGGCATCAAGTCATTTGAGAAGACAGAAACCCTGATCATCCTCAGAGCTTCATCATATTCTAGGGCATAGCTAGTTAGGCTAGGTCTAGAGGGAGGCAAGCAGGCTTCGCTTGGATTCCTGATCGTGTCAAGAGCGTGGTTTGGTATAATATTTGTACCCCATCTCTTTTGTATCTCCATTACTTTTATATGCTAGCTATAATTGTTATGACAATATCAGTATTTATCTTATTTATGTTCTTCATTATAATATTCATCGACTACTTTGATTATATGCTTAGTATAGTTGGATTATCATCATGTTCATGCATAAGTTCATATAGCGCTCACTCTAAGGTACCATGGGTGGGTGGTCGACATTGTGTAAGCATGGTGCTTATACGTTGTTTACCTGTGAATACACCCTATATTCTAGGTCATGTGATAGATCGCGGATGTGGCACTCCCGTTGAGTCCTTTGTAGTCCACTCCCTGATGTAGGTAGCACGTAGGATCTGATTACGAAGGAAGATAAGCTCTATTCTTACTCTTCCCTAGTAATATCCCTTATGTGTAGATATGAAGATGATCTTAGCCATGATTACTAGGTGTAATTGCACTAATCAATGTATGCTTTGACTTGTAATTAAGAATGACTTAGGAATTATTCCTCTAATATTCTACCTGACCATGCTAATGCCATAGAAAGGAGTACTCTGAGTGATTTATCATTATCATTGATCAATACTTATCATATATCTCTTATCCTATGACTTACCCCTGTTATGAGTAGAACATTGGTAATGGTTTACTTCACCATCAATAGTATAAGTTATCAATACATGTCCATGCTAGACCTTCCCTGTGGTAAAAATATAAATAACGATACCTAGAATACTCTCGGGTGTAGTGTTATAATGGTATATTATTTGTACGCTTGCAGGTCCTTTTTCATTCATATCTATATATTCTTTCTAGTCACATAAGATGATAAAGAACTACTTAGTATCATTCTAGTAGTGATGCTAGGCAGCACCAACAAGCATCTCTGGCACCATCACTAGGGATGATAACCTAGTTAAGTAATGTTAGGAGATGTAGGTAATTAATAGGTGACTATTAAAACAAGTGACAAGTTAATAAACATCAACAACCACTATATTGAAATTACATCATCAACCACATGATGAAGGAAAAAATAGTGAAATACTATACATCCAAATCATTATACTATCAACTAGATTATCATACTATCAACTAAAACATGACAAATAAAAATAAAAAATATTATAACATACCTTCCAGAAACTGTAGATGATATCCAACTGCAGAGTCTGAGTTCAAGGAAGAAAATTGTATGAAAGAAACAAAAAAGAATTACTTCAAGCACAAGTCTATAAAACACACTGGAAACCTAAACTCCTTACCCAACAAAAAAAGAAAGAGAAAAACAAAAAACCCTACAAATCTAAGAATTACCTAAGAGCCTAATTCAACACAGATGAAACAGCAAAACAATAAAGGGCTATTTCTTTATAACTTCAAATTTTAGGCACAACAATAGGCTGCTTTCCAGTAGAATATATGCCAACTTCAAGTCTTCATGGCTTATCACAGAAATAAAGCAACATACAGATTTATGACAACAGAATTACTCCTAAGGAAGCATCTAAACAAGCCTATTGAAAGGGTAGTTGGCATCAACACGGTAAATGATAACAAAGATACCACTAACTGGAAAACTAACACTCCTTACCCAACCAAAAAAATAATAAGAATAACAAAAACAAAAAAATAAGAGCCCATAGTGATTTAAGAAATACCTAAGAGCCCACTTCAAGAAAGATCAAAAAGCAAAACAAATGAGACTAACATAAACCAAGGAAAAATCAAATAGTGAAGAAAAGAGATAGAAATGAACACAATATATAGTTAACTAGACTAATAGATTCTTAAACAAACAGTTTCGAGATCCATACAAACACAGGCATCTAAAGATACAGAGACTAAAAGAAAAGAAAACTTACATGAAGGATACAAAAATGGGTTGCCGGCGCACAAAAAAGAGAATGGCAGGAAAATAGAAGAACACAACCCTAAGAGGAAGCCTAGTGCTTTATAAAGAAACAAAGGGCACTATAGAAGGAAGATTCGAATTGTCGGCCAAATAAATGGGAAACAAGGACATAATTCCAAACGCTACGAGTAAATGGAGGACCATGGATCGAGAGAAAACCGCTGAGGGAGTACAACCAGTCGTAAACCACACGGTGAGAGTAAATGCACAACCACCAAGCAGTTACTGATAAGTAAATGGACCATACAGGCAAACATGACTCAAAAAGCCCAAAATAAAAGCCTGAGAAAACAAGACTCAAAAAGCCCAAAACAAAGCCCACAAAGATGAGAACAACTCCTTCCACAAGGCCCAATCAATGTCACGAAGCACCAAAAATTTAGTAAAAGCCCAACTCAAGATATGCATATCTGGAAAGCCCAAAAGAGAGAGCACTTTCACCAAGAAAAAACAAAAAGAAGGGGCAAAACGCAAAAAACACAAACTTACCTGAACCAAGAAGGTCAAAACGAATCCCATAACCAAAAGAAGGGCATACAAGTAAAACAAGGAGACTTACCTGAACCGCAAGACCATCCAGTTGACAAAGGGGGACACAATGACAATCGAATGCAGATCTGAGTATAGGATTCAAAGAAAGCAAGAGCAATGGAACCTCCAATTCACCAATTCTGCAGATAACTAATGGATCTGCAGATAACTTAGAAGCACATAGCAAACAACTGCTGCTCCAATTCTAAAATAAAAAGCCAAAATCACATAGATTGGAATAATCTTACTGCATAGTACAAAAATTTTGTGTTCTTGAATCTTAAATTCATCCTAAACAAACTATGTAACTAATAATGATGACACAATCTTAATGTTAACACAGATTTAAAATTCCTTATCTAAATTACTCTACACACTAACAATTTATTAATATTTGTTAAATGCAGGACGTTACAGACAAGGACAAATATACACCAACATCATTACAAGGAAATCAAATGCAGGTACCTTCTAAAACCTAAGGAAAAACTCACTAATTTATATCACAATTCAATTACTACAAAGATTTCATACATTCATATAAAAATGAAAAATTACACAGGCACAATTCGGCTACCTTGCAAATCCATTTGGAGCAACAAGTTCAATGCCTCCAATGAACCAATGGCAGGACTGCTTGGGGCTCATGTACAACTTCCAGGTATGAAATTCAAAATAAGAAATACAGAAGTTACCAGCAGGATGTATAACACATTAGCTATTAAAAAACAGAGAGATGATGGAACATCAAGACAAAGAACAACTACAGAAGAAGCTACTCCTATTTCTGGGTCAAGCTCAAACATGAATGCATCAAGAATCACTCAACCAGTGCACACATTTCTCAATTACACAGCATAAGCAAGGTAAGCAACAAAAAACTTCTCATACATTAACCATTTAGTACCATTAAAAAAACAACTAAAAATATGATACAATTATCACAGGAGAGCTTAACAGGACTACTCATGGAACAAATTAGGAACTCCCAAGAAGAAACATACTCGGTAAGCAAATTTACAATTCAAAATTCATTAATTTACACCACCTATGCAACTATAAATTCAGTGTATTGCTAATGTAATAATTTTCATGCATGTTACAATTTTCCCAAGAAATGCACGGATCATACACAAGTATGTTACTAGGTCCAGATATTTTCCAGGTACAAACAGAAACAAATTATAGATATGCAAAATTCAAATACAGCTACTGACAAACACCTTACTGTTGTTTATTTATCACAGAAACTATCTAATTTATTAATCAAAATAAATGCAGGGAACTCTACAATTGCAGGGACAAATATCAAACTATTACACAGGAGATGAATATGCCATATCTAATGCTCAAAAAGGAAAAGAGGTAAACATGAAAAAAAATACATTAGTAACTTGCCTGATTGCTAACAATCTTTTTCTTTGGCAGATCGCTGTTGAAAACATGAACAACAATCCTGAAACAAATACCAATTTCAATTACTCAACTTTAGATTTAGAGGTAACACCCTAAAAACATGATCCCAAACTACATATACATTTACTACAACAACATTCAGTATGATAAATAAAATAATTAATTAGAACTGTTATTCACAATTTTAGGACTACCAACTTAGGAACTGGGATGGAGAATACTTATCAGAGCAAGAAGAAGAACAATGGCAGAATGGCGTCTTCAAAAACATGCAACTTCATGTAATACAAGAAGATACAAGTGTTGTAGAAGAAGATGTGTCAAGGACAACATCATACCTAATAAGGACAAATTCAGAAACAGCAAATAATGAAATAGTACTAGCAGAAGAGATAGACACTGTAGAAGGAAAGGGAAGCCAAGAACTCACTGAATAGGAAATAGATGAATTCATCAGTAGAGAGTAGATATCAGCTTCTGAAGGCAATAATGCATATATCAATAGCAAGTACACCCACAGTTAGGTATGGAATTCAAAGAAAAAAATATAGCTCAACACTTTTTCAACTTCTATGCATACCTTGCTAGGTTCGAAGCCGTCGTAGTCCATGTCTTCAGGACTAGAAGCAAGAAAAGGAACGATGAGATAACCAAAGTCATAATGAAGTGTCACAAACATGGAAAAGAAGAGGAGCCAAAAATAATAGATCAACAAGAGGCGACAGTCGACAAGGATATTGGCAAAAAAAAAAGGTACAAAGAGACAAACAAATGTGATAGCAAAAACAAACTGCCCATGTGTGATGGCTGTGAAAGAAGTAGGTGACATTTGGAGGATTATAAGGCTAGACTTAGAGCACAACCATGAACTACAACCAGGGCAGAGAAACCAACAGTTAAGTGGACACAAATATATGACAGAAATGGAGAAGTCACTGATCAGAACCTTGAATGATAACAATATTCCTACAAGGAAAATGATTTCTATACTATCATATCTCAGAGGAGGACCTACAGCACTACCAGTGAAGAAAAAAGACGTGAGCAACTTCAGAACAAAGTTAAACAGAGAAATAAGGGGAATAGATATGACCAAGGTATTAGACAGCTTCAGAATCAAGAAGAGTGAAGATTCTACCTTCTTCTACAAATTTGAGTTAGATGATGACAACAAAGTGAAAATTTTCTTTTGGAGAGATGGATCTTCCCTTAAAATACTATGCAGATTTTAGAGACTGTGTCAGCTTTGACGCAACATATATGACAAACAGATACATACTACCTTTTGCACCTTTTTGTAGGAATCACTGGCCATGGATAGACATGCATCTTTGGATGCGCTTTCCTACATGATGAGACAACAACAATATTCAGATGGGTTTTCGAAACATTCCTAGAGTCGATGGGAGGCAAGCACCCTCAAACTATAATAACTGACTAGGACAAAGCTATGAAAACAACAATTGAAGAGGTGATGCCAAATACAAGGCATAGAAATTGCCTTTTCCACATCAATACTAAATGCTACTCAAAGAACATTAAAGTATTTGCAGCTAAAGATGGCCTATATGAGGAATTTGAAGACATAGAGAACAACTATGTCACAGAATAGGAATTTGAGTACTTGTGGCAGAATAGGATCAAGGAAAGAGCACTAGAGAACAACTACTACTTCACAAAAATGTGGGAGGCAAGGAAAAGATTCATACTATACTGGAATTCTAGGTATGCAAAAGATTTATACAATAGAAACATATACAAGAAATTCTAGGTTTAACTAAAAGATACTTCAACACTCACTTACAAGGAAATTGAACAAGATAAGGCTTTTGAAGTATGGCAAAGAAGCAACCAGGTTTATAAAGTACAAAGGATAAGGAAATATATAGTGCTGACTGACCTCACAGAAGGAAAAGAAGAATTCAGTTGCATCTATGCCAAATTCAGCAAAGATGACATACTCTGCTCCCATATCCTCAAAGTGATAATAGAAAAGTAAATTAGCAGCATACTAGATAAGTACATATTGGACAGGTGGAGGAAAAAAGATATGAGATTGATCAAACAAAGATTAGAAGACAAAACAGCTACTACAAGTTCTCTGCTAAGATTCAATATACTATCAAACAAGTCCACTATACTGAATTCAAAAGCATCTAAACAGGAAGAAGCAACAGATTACCTAATAGCAGAAATGGACAGGATTGACTTGCACCTAGAAAAGTTGCTAGCACCTCAAGGCATTGAGGATGGTCAGAATGAACCAAACTCACATACAGAAGTATAAACAGGTGGAACAATATATACTGAGGTCAATAGTTCAGAAAATAGTATTCAAGATCTAGATACAACACCAAAAAAAGGCAGGCCACCAAAACCAAAGAGAATGAAGACTGCAATAGAAGAAGTAAAGGAGAAAATAAAGCAGAAAGAGACGAAGAAGAAGAAGAAATCAACAACAAATGAAAATTCAGGTAAATAACACAAAAAAAAGCAAGTGGGCAGTTATCATGTATAGTGATACAATTAGAAAAACAACACCATTGACAACACATTTTTTGCTGATAGGATCACCAAGCAAGCCCAAGACAAAGAGAATGAAGAAAGCATAAAAAACACTAATGCAGAGGAGAACAACTCAATAGCTCCAAGGAAGAAGTAGAAGAAGAGGATGGAAGACAATAGCAAGTCAGCAAAACATTTTTCAGAAAAACATCAACATATGTAATACTATATTAGACTTAAGAACTGTAATATAAGGTTTGCTTGTATGATGTGCAACAGAGCACAAACATATTGTAAGGCACTTCCTTAAGTACTACCCTATTACATGACAGGGAGACCAAAAGTTTTTGACACAGCATTAATACCTTTATAGACCAGCGAAAATACTACAGCCAATGAAAACTAAAGTAGAAAAGAAAGCAAGAAAAACAGCTACTGAGAGCCACCTTCCTGAAAAAACATACAGTCAACCAAAAAAACAAGTCAAAAACAAAAAAAAACAAGCATCGACAATACCTGATTGTGATCATAGGTAATGACTGGATTCTTATTACCAGTGTTCCTAGGGTTGAACAACATCTCATTGCATAACTTGATCCTGATATTTGTAATATCTTTGCTACTGAACAAAGAAAATAGAGAAGATCTTGGCGATGACCAATGCTTAAGAAACATCATAGCATAAACTCCTGAATCAACACTACATTAATTAAAAAAAAGATTAATATGATAAAACAAATAATTAACAAAGGTAACCATAATAAAAAAGAAAAATATACAAGACTAAAGAGAAATAAAAAATACTTAACATGAATCAAAAATACTAAAAAGCACATACACATACTTATTATCTAGAGACTGCTTGGGCACACTTGGATATATAACACCATATTCACTGAACTTCATATCAGTCTTGACAAACCTGTTCCACCAAAATTGGAATTCTAGAATCTAGAATAGAAAATATAAAAAGATCATCTAATAATTAATCACTAATACAAAACAAAAAAATAAAGCTGATGAAACAAAGCATACCATCTTTTCCCTAACATATTGTTGGTAAGCATGAAGTTCATAATAGAATGAATCCAGGAACACAAATTTCCTATCCTTGATATCAACAACAAAGACAAACCAATGATCTTCATAGAAACTTGGAAAATACAGCTGCACAAGCAAAAAATAAATATTCAAATAAGAGAGCAAAAAAAATAATGGTTCATCAGCCTTGGAAAACTTTACTTTAAAACCTACCAAGTTGGAACGATGAAGTGGCTTGGCCTTTGCAGAACGCTAAAAGCTCTCATCATCACATCACCATCAACTTCAGCATGATCTTTGAGAAGAATATCCTTCAAACTAAAAAAATAGGACTAAAAAAATATAATGATCACATTATCTAACACATAACATCAAACACTTACTGAAATGTTAGAAAAGAAGTAATGCCGCTTTGAAACATCTGGATGTCCATCAGGCTGGCAAAAGAGATGATAGTGAAATACAGCCACCACAAAATTATTTACTTTACCACCTGGCTTCATAGATTCTCCAAGGGACCAGTATGTACAACGAACACCTCCAAAATACAAAGCATCCTCACTACAAAGAACAAAATAGGTAAAAAAGGATCAGTTACATAAAAAACAAAGAAATATACAGGAGCACAATCAATAACAAAAAAAAGGACAAGCAATTACTTGATGGGACTAGACTTCGACAAAGCACAGATAGCCTTGTAGTTTGCAATTTCAGATTTTGAAACTTTAAATTTGTCTTGAAGATTATCAAAATCATCACCATAATATCGACTTGGAGAAACCATTCTTCTAGGACCATGAATAGGAACTTTCCCACCAGTTGATGAATCCCTTGATTTGAAATCAGAACGACCAGCCACACCTGCTGGATCAATAGAAGAATCTAATGGAAAACCATGAGTTTTGTTCAGACACAAATTAGGAGTTTCTGAGCTCATCCTCGCTTTTTCCAACTTAGAATTATATATAACATCAGAGTTTTTAGTTTCAACTCTGACTTTATCAAAAAAGGATCTTGAACCAGTACAAACAACAGGAGAAGTATCCTAAAAAAAGGGAGAAAGGCAAACAATTATAAATTATATATATATATATGACAAAAACAAAAATAAAGAAGGAAAACTAACATTTCCATTGACAGTAGATTTTTTAGAATTCTTCAGAGAACTATGACTCAGAGGCAGCATTAGAGGCTTCTTAGAAAGTTTAGGTGTAATACGGGGAGTTTCTTCATCAGAAAACGGAAGAGTTTGCATAATTACACGATCCTAAAAAAGAAAATGAAATATCAACAATACAACGACAATAATAGAATACAAAAATTTAAAAACAAATACAACAAACAACAAATAATTATGACCTAACCTCATCTCTACTATTGAGAGAGCCATTCTAAGAATCTTGAGACAGCTACAAATTAAAATGAGCAACAATAAGCTTACAACAAAAAGAAAAAAAGGAAAACAAAAGAGAGAATGCTTTGCACACTATACCTTAGATGGAAAAAATCTAGATCGGTGCCAAAAAGGAGATGGAGAGACAAAATCAGGGATAACAACATTCTCTTTATCAATAAGAATGACATCCCTATCCAAATTAAAAGAAATATGACAACCACCAGAATGAGAAGCAACATTAGTTCTATCAGCCAAAGGATTACGAATAGAAGCATGAACAAGCCTGACTTCACCACCCAAATCAGGGGAAGACATAGGTTTTAATCTCTGGCTTAAAACAACGGAACTTCCTACAAAAGAGATCAACATTAAAATAAGAAAACATACAATTACAGAAAAATGCTGACAACAAACAATGGAAAAATAAAATACGAAACAAAAGGTATAAAATAATAAACAAGAAGGTCCTTACCACTACTTATATAACAAAGTGGTCTACCTACTACAACATATTAAAACAACTAAAGTGAATGGTAAGTATATTCATAATACAAGGATTACAAGCCTTAAAATTGATAACAGGAAACACTAAAAACAAGATACATAACACTAGGCTTAACAGTCAAACTGTAAAAAAAACAAGAATCAAGGATACTACATAAAGTGAAATCATCAAATACAAAAAACTTGAAAAATAGAAACTACCATTAATACAAAACAGGAAACTTACTCTTTTTCACCTTCTTCTCCAAATCAACATCAATAGATGGATTATTACCAACACGTATACCCTGAGAGACTTTAGGAACAGAATCTACATAGAATTAAGAATCAAAATTGAAAAAAGAACCCAAAATAAGAAAAATTATATAAACACAAGTAAAAAGCAAGAGCAACAGCAATCACCTTTCATACTAGGAACAATAACAGGATCAGTTTTACCTTCATTTGGACTTGCAGCAACAGATAAAGGATCATCATCTTCAACAGATGGATCAGTCTGAGCAATAGCTTCCATAACATCCACAATTAACTCCTTCGATCTCAAATCAATAGTACACACATGCCGCATCAACTTTGCAAACATATCTTGGAAGTCTTTGGACACATTCCCAAGGGAAATGATATCCAAATTGAAAGATGAACCACAATTAAAGGAATGCTTGTCAACCAACTGAGATATCTTCAACTTCAAAGTTAAAGGGAGCTTACAACCAGAAACAGATTCCATTTTATCACAAAAAAAGAATCAAGATCTTCAGCAGAAACCATAGTCTTAAGATGACCACACTGTCCAAAAAATTAAGAAAATAAATAAATAATCAAATAATTCATGAGTTAGAATTAATCACAATAAAATGAATGCAAATAATAGATCTAACCTTGTAATAGCACATTTTCTCAAAGTCAAGCAGAGGTCTGTAACCATAAACACCAGGAGATTTGATGTCAAGATTAGCATAAAACTGAATCAAATCACCCTTCCACACAGATATTCGAGGAATAGAGCCTACAAGTTGCCTCTGCCAGAAATCGATATGATCCAGATAAACAACCTTAAAAAGAACCAATAAAAAACAAAATACATTACAACCAGGACCTATTACATAAAGCCAATACATAACAGGAAAAAATTAAATCATAGTACTAAGATGTAAAAATAGTAGTGTTAACATATAAGCTAACCTACACAAGGCTAAAACTTTTAAAAGATGCCACCACAAACTCATATGCTCTATTGCCTTGTTAACTACCAACTATAAGGCACACTAACACAACAAAAACATCAACCCAATGTACTCCAGAAACACCTGCAATAAGATACTAAAACAGTGGGCAAAACTAACAAACCATAAGGCTTCACCGTTCACTTCATAAGACCACAACAATAGTTTCAATACAAATGGCTCACAGGAAACACCAGTTACTAGATCAACCATATCAAAATGTACTACAAACTGGACTTACAACTTAAGAGATAAAATAACAAATATCTTGAAGAAAACAAACCACAAAAAAACTCAGTAACAACCTAGAAATAAATGACCAGGCAACTCATAAACCCAAATACTACCTCCACAACATCAAGTAATGCCTATAGTAGAAATAGACAAAATAAATACAAAAAACAAAGTATTACAGGAATCATATCTACAATTAAAAAAGAAACTTACCGCAAGATAATACAAACAGCCACCAAGACCTAAACAACATTTCGCTTTATCATCTTTACCTCCATTGAACGCCTTGACATGCTCAAGTAACCAATGTAGCACATAAGCACACCACTTGAAATCTTTAATGTGCTCAACATCTTCAAATATGCCAAAGTACTTTGGGCTCGGAACAGTATTCGTATTGGGGCACAAGAAACTGCTCGAAGCAACTATCATGAAACAAATAAACATGTCCTCATCTGACAAATGTTCCTTCTTGATCAATTTATCAGCAAAAAAAGAAACTGATGGAATCTTAGACTTTCCAAACTTCGATAATACAAAATCCTTGCCAGCACTTGGATCAGAAGGGAAGGGTCTTGTACCAACAGGAAGATCCAGAACAAGATTCACTGATTCCTCAGCAAGTGAGATTACCTTTCCATTATGAATAATATCACCAGACTTGGAATCAACTAAATGTGCAACCCACTTACCAAAACTATTCGGCACAAAGCATTTATCAAACAACAACAGAGAACCAAACCCATAGCTAGCAATAATTGCCTTCTTCTCAGGGGACAAAGAGGAAATCACATTCATAAAAGCTGTGGCAGAAAATCTTGTGAATCCCTCCTTAGACTTCTTCACAGATTTCACCTTCTTAGACTAGAATTATATTCAAAAAATCAGAAAACATACAATCCACAAGCCTATAAAATAGTAACAGCACATAAATTGTATCTGAAAATAACAAGCACTACTAACCTTATGCCTCAGTGCCATTTTCAGCCTTCTCTTCATATTCCTTATCTTCTCATACTGAACAAACAACAAACTATTTTAGTAAAAGAAAGTAGTAAAAAAGAAACCTAAAGAGAAAAAGACAAGAAGGGAAAAAGAACAAATCCATACATCTTTCAAACACTTCTCATGCAAATGTCGGTCAAAACTTGAATTGTCACTAGAAGAATCACCCTGCAATCAACAACAAAAAATAACTACAAAAAAATACATAAAATACAAAAAAAAAAAAACTGAGTTACAAACAAAACACTCACATCTGAAACAACCTGAGTTTCCGAAGCAGATTGATATGAATTATAATCCATATAAGGAAGTTGAGAACATTGGACATCTTCCAAATCATCATTTTCAGAATTATCAGAGCTAGATAAATCAACAACACCAGCAGGCCTTTTCCGAACCATCTAACAAAAAATTAAATAAATTAAAAAATTAATAGAACTAAAACTGATGCAACAAACAATAATACTGAAGCACACAACATACTAAAACAGATATAATATTCACTAACAGAAATAAACAACCTAAAAGAAAATTAAAAAAAGCAGGATTTTACATAGCAAATCAACTAAGCACAAATTCAAAAGAACACAACTCAGCTATCTTTCATTGGATAAGGTTGATCACCTAAGAACAATTCATAAAACTCAAACTCAAATACTTACAGCAACAAAATATTAAAATTACACTTTGATTAAGAAAAAATACATTCAGTCCTAGGATGTAAAAATAGTAATATTTGCATATAAGTAAAAGTACACATGGCTCAAACTTTAAAAGGGTGGCACCCTAAACTCATTTGCTCTATTGCCTTGCCTAGTATACATACAAATCTAAGTACCAACGACACAACACACTACTATACAAGGGTAACATCACCCCAATGTACTCCAAAACAGCTGTAGTAAGACACTGCAACATTTCTAAGACCAATCCAAAAAAATAAGAAAACAGCCATTTCCAGCCCATAAATAAGCATACAACTGCAGTCTACAAAAGTAAAATATAAGCTACAAAACAGATAACCTAGTCCTAAAACCAAATTTATCTTTGATCTTCAAATCACTGCATGAAACACAACACACCATCAACTAAACAGCCTTTGATGATGCATCTTCTAAAAGGAGATAACAGCCAGTCATGATGACAACTCACAGAAACATGCTCATGTAATTTTTCTAAAGCTAACACTTGTCACAACTTCCACTACCCTAAACTCCACACTGTTCCCATTTTCCACAACATGCCCATGACTAACAAAAATAGCATGCAATTCATTTCATAACCATAACCTATTAACATCATTTCCACAACTGCAAAATGCTCAGACTACAAAACAAAACCATTGTCAATAATCAAAGTAGCCCACAAATGATAATGCAACTTTCTAAAGAACAGGCGACAGAGAGAATCAACATATCCGATAACGAATGACTAGAAAACAACAAAACACAAATAGGCAGAAAGAAAATCGACAGATCCAGTGGAACAAAAAATCACGGTTCCACAACAATAGATCCCGCAGAACATAAGCTCACAGTTCAATCATATACATCTACATGCTCTAATCTCGTTGGGCATACCCAAATAACCAGAACAATACGACAAAAAGGATGCATCCACGGTCAACCAAAACAACAACAAACAAAGAGAAACCAACTATAAGAAGTTGTACTCAAATTAACCTGAATATGAACTTACCTAAACAAAATTGCAATCCTTCAACCTCTAATGAACTTGAACAAAAACTATTCTACTCAACATGAAGACAAATTCTATTCTATTGAACTTGAACATAACTAAAACTGGAAATATGATCTACTAAACTAAACCTAAAATTAGAACAAAAAAATAAATTCCTCTGGCAAACATCAACATAAAAAAAATCAAATCTAACATCAATAATCTACAAATCATTACAAAACAGAAATGGCCATCATCAATCAACTCAGAAATAACCCTACCAAGCAGATCTACACACACCATACATCATTAAGCAAAAAAACCTAGCAGCACACACTAGGCAGCAGAGCTAGATAAAAAACATGACTAACTCGAGAACAAAACATACCTCAACACTCCCTACGAGTCGCCAGTAGCCGAGCCAGCCGCCACCACCGAAAAACACCAAATCGAATGGACGAATAGGAGAAGAAATGAGAACGCCGAAAACCCAAAACGACGACAACGAACCCTATCAAACATAATCAACTGGAGCAGAACGAACATACCTTCGCAAACCCTAGGAATCGACCATCATCACGCCACACGCAGCAACCGGAGCAGGAAGACGAGAAGAAATGCAAACATCACAACAACATCAGAAAATGAAAACGACCCCTATCAAACAACAACCAATGGAGCATAAATCAAACATAACTTACCAAACCCTAACAAACGCCAGACGCCGCACCAGTAGCCGCCACCGGGGAACACAGATTCGCATTCACGAAGACGAGAACAAATTAGAACGGAGAGCAGAAGAAACGACCAGAAACAAACCCTACAAAAAAACGCACAGAGCAACGGCGAACAACGCAGAACGCTGACTAGCCGGGGAAGCACTTGATCTACTGGAGCACATGGAACATAGCTCGCCAAACCCTAGCAATCGCCAACGGCGGAGAGAGCCGAGTCGCAAGGAAGAAGACAAAGCGAAAGGAGAACTGAATGGGGAAAGGGGGAAACGGCAGCGAAATCGACGCGACTCCCAAAAAATCAAATAGTGTGGCGCCGACAACTCGACCCCACATGTCATCGCCACATAAAGCCACAGCGACGGGGAAAGCAAACGCCAAAAGGAAACAACCAGATCAGACAGTCCACAACACATACGAGGCAGATCCCACGGTCAAAAAAACAGATGCCGGAGGGAGCCAAAACATCCGGTCGTTGGATAGCAATTCCAAAAAAAAAAAAAACAAGCCGCCGTCCTTTTAACTCGTCTAGCTCCTGCTGGAGATAAGAGAGAAGAAGACAGAAAAGAAGGTGACACTGGCTCGAGGAATCACAGCAAACTACTATCGTCAAACTGGAGATGGACGCCAATAGGACTGCAACATGTTTCAACTGGCCAAAGTGTGCGGACCCAAGAGCCTGAGAACCACCTCCGCCGCGCACGCCGTCATCGACTTGAGCCTGTCCATGGCGAACGCTGGGTGCACGACGCGGCGGTGGCGCGCCCAGTCGTCGCCCTTGGTGAAGACCAGGCCCTGACCCAGGAGCGCCATGAGGGCCGGGCCCGGGTACGGGTTCACGTACAGCCCGGCCTTGTCGGAGAGGATCCGCTTGGCCATGTCGAGGTCGCCCGCCCACAGCCTCGGCGTCGAGCCGGTCCACGACACGAACACCTTGCCGTAGAGCGACGCCCACGCGCGCGCGTGCGGCATCACGCGGCGTACGATGTCGTTGGAGCTCCACTCCAGCGCCTCGTCGCTCGCCGCCGCCAGCATCGCCCTCGCTTCACGGTTGTTGCCCACGTAGAAGCGGTACGGCGGCCCTCGGACGCCCTGCCGAGCGAACGCCCGCTCCACGGCGTACGGCCGCCACACCTGGCGCACCAGAGCCGCCCACAGCAACGGGACCAGCGCCGCAGCGAGCGCAGCGAGGACTACTCCCATGCCACTGCCGCTCATCTCGACCACTCCAATGCCACTGCCACTAGTTGTTGCACTGTACCGTACAACCCTGCTCAGATTTCGCCTGTGTCAGTGCGGATATATATGCAGCGGCAGCGGCTGCTCTGCTCTCCCACAGTCGCTGGTGTGGTGGGTCCGTCGATGTCGCCGTTTCCGACTCCGAGCGGGCAACTGTCAACTGTGGTTAGCAGCGGCGTCCTTGGCTACCGACTGTGACAGCGGACAACTGTCAACACGTGCAGACGACGACTTCTTACCCACGGCGCACGCCCTCGGCGTGGCCAGCGACATGCTGGTGCTGTCGTGCGCGCTGACGGAGGATACGCGGCACGTGGTGGACCGGGGGCGCTGGGCAGGGGCGGCGTGCTCGTCAACGAGCCGGAGCTGGTGCGGTGCCTGCGGGAGGGCATCATTAGCAGCGCCGGGCCGGACGTGCTGGCGGAGCTCCTCGCCATGGACAACATCGTGCTGTCAGGCCACAGGGTCGTGCTCACGTCGGAGTCCATGTGCTCCAACCCTCGCGCCAAAAGACCGAGCGGCCGGGCCAAAAAAGAGCGAGGTCGCAGGGTAGAACGCCTGGGACACGATGGTCAAGAAATGGCAGAGTTAACCGGTTTCCCTCTACGAGCTCCGCACATAGATCAAGCCACATATGTGTAGCACATCTCTTACGTTTTCGTCCTCGCTTCGTATAATAGGGTTAGTCCAGAGATGCTATGTTTGGAACGATAAGGTTTATAAGCTGGTCCTCACACTCCTAAATTTTCAAGGTGGTACTAAACCCACCAATCATAACCACAAGTGTGCCACTTAGACCACATGGACCAACTTCACAACTACTACAGGCTACTAATAAACTGAGATGTTACATTCCTGTCAGTCAAAGCACACGTCAAAGCACACTACCACATTACCTCTAGCTTTGTAGGAACTAAGGAGTAAACTCGCAATCCTAGTAGTAGAATAGAAGAAGCCAATGATGTGATCCGAGACTTGCGACAGAACTGCACAGCACGCAAATAAAATAATGGAATTGCTATACCTTAGTTGTCCAGGTAACAATTCGCAAGAGATAATTAGTACAATTAAAAGGACAACTACAGTGACCAACTTTTTTTTTAGCCAATAGCCAAATAATAATAAAGTGCATGTTATCTGATTCAAAAAAAAAGACACCAGGGGAAGTGATAAAAAGACAAGATGAGAAAATCAATACACACGATTGTGGCATCCCTGATCCAAATGAGCTCGTCTATAGCAACATACAAAGAAAACATACATGCTGAAAACTTCAGAAAAATCCAGTACGAAAGTAAGGGATTATGTTGTAGATTAGACTAGCCAATCCAGACACGCCGCCTGAACTCACTAGACTTTGGACAGGCAAAGCCAAACCACCTCCTCTTCATTTTAAAAAAAAAGATGATTGGACCTGGCCCATCGATTCACAAAATCACAATATTATAGTTCCATTGTGAAATATGGGCCTCGTTCACTTTACAAAAAAAATGAACCTGATGAATAATACCACTTTCGTCTTATTTGGCAAATATTGTTCAATCGTGGACCAACTAGGCTCAAAAGATTCATCTCGTGATTTCCAACTAAACTGTGTAATTAGTTTTTTTTTTACCTACATTTAATACTCCATGCAAGCGGCTAAAAATTGACGTGATGGAGAGAGAGTGAAAAAACTTAGAATTTGAATGTCATCTAAACAAGGCGACACATGAACGTTGTAGGAAATTTGTACTCCTACTTTTGCTCAAATGGAACTTGTGACAAGTATGGCTTCCAATCCCCTCTACTACACATCCAAGAACTTGAGCATGACCGGGAGCCCTTTCGACGGCTGCAGCGTCACGAAGTCCACCGGCCCGTGCACGTACTCCGGCGCCACCTCGAACACGAACCACCGCAGGATGAGCGCCAACGTGGCCTTGGCCTCCAGCATCGCGAAGTCCTGCCCGATGCACGACCGCTGGCCCAAGGAGAAGGACAGCAGCGCGTTCGGGTGCGCCGCCGCCCTGCCAATGCCGTCCCGGAACCGGAACGGGTTGAACGCGTCGGCGTCCGCGCCCCACAACTCCTCGTTGCGGTGAAGCATCGCGATCGGGATCAGCAGGCGGGTGCCCTTGGGCACCTTCATGCCGCAGAGGTCCACGTCCGCCGTCGCCTGCCTCGAGATCATCGGCACCGCGCCGTACAGCCAGAGCATCTCGTACAGCACCATCGTCACCTGCGAAACAACATAAGACCATGGCCGTGACGCACGCTCGCCGGCGGTCACCGTGTGCATATACACCTGCTAGCTAGCTTAATATTACCTCTGGCTCAAAAGAATGCAATTCTAGCACAGTATTACGTTTTATATCTTAAGTTTAATCAATTATATATAAAAAGTATCCATGTTTATGATACCAAATAAGTATCATCAGATTAGTTACTAAATGTAGTCTCATAATAAATTAATTTAAAGTCATAAATATAAATATTATTTACTAAAAATTAAGTTAAACGTGAATCATCTTTTTTGGCACACCATCCATAGTTACCTTCTTTTCATGACGGAGGTAGTAAGCTTAAGGCGGAGGAGGCTCACGAGCTTGAGCTTGTTGAGGGCGTCGCCGCGGAGGGGGACCTCGGCACCACCGCACTCCCGGATCACCTCCTCCCTGAGCCGCTGCTGCCACTCGGGGTGCGTGCCGAGGAGGAACATGGACCAGGTGAGGAGGTGCGAGGTCGTGTCGTGGCCGGCGAAGACGAAGGTTTTGCATTCGTCGATGATCTCGTCCATGGTCATGGCCTGCTGTCTCTTGCCGCCGTCGTCGCCGGCGGCGTTGGCCTCCAACATGAGGCCGAGCACGTCGCTGCCGTAACCCCTCGCCTCCTTTGCAGCGGCGAGGCGCTCGCCGATGATGGCCATGAGCGTGCCCCGCACCGTGCTCTCGAGCTGCCAGCGGCGCACGTTGGCCTTGGTGGGCACGTACTGCATGCCCGGCACGCGCACGTTGTAGATGGAGGAGAAGGCGATGAACTGGAGCTCCCGCTGCGCCAGGAACACCTCTTCCCCTGCCGGTAGCTGCTGCCGAACGCCGTGTGCGAGATGACGTCGGCGGTGAGCTCCATGAACTGCTGCCCTACCTCCACCGTCACCCCCTCCTCCCCGCTCGCGGCGACGCGCGCCTCCCACGCCCGGATCACCTCCTCCGCGCACGCCGCCATCGCCCCCGTCATCGCCTTGAGCTTGTCCATGGTGAACGCCGGGTGCACGACGCGGCGGTGGCGCGACCAGTCGTCGCCGTCGGTGAAGGCGAGGCCCATGCCCACCAGGGACAGTATGGTCGGGCCCGGGTCCGACTTGCCGTACAGCCCCGACCTGTCGAAGAGGACCCGCCTCACCATGTCGTAGCTGCCCACGCAGCGCCGGAGTCGAGCTGGACCACATCAGGAACACCTTGCCTGGACACACACAGCCAACCGTGTGACACGACCACAGCGAAAACTTGTCAGAATTCAGAATTGATCTTGCCCGCTCGCGTACCGTAGAGTGACATCCACGCGTGGTACTGCGGCATCACGCGCGGGATGTAGTCGTGGGAGGTGAGGTCCAGCGTGTCGCCGCCCGCATCGCCTGAACCTCCTTGCTGTTGCCCACTAAGACACGGTACGGCGGCCCGCGGACGCCCTGCCGCTCGAACGCCCTCGCCACGGCGTACGGGCGCCACACCAGGTGGAGCAGCACTGTCCACAGCCTCGTGACCACCACCACGGCGACGGCGGCGGCGGCGGCGACCAGTGCTGCACCTCCCGTGCCCATGTCGAGCAACTAACAGGATACGAGAACTCGCGGTGCACGAAGCAAACTGCAATCCGCACGAAGGAGGATAGTACTGCGCTGTGACGTCGTCGCGTGTCACTGTGTGCCAGCAGTGTCACTGTGTGTGTATATATATATATAAGCTGATTCGCCATCTAGATTTATTACGAGAATCTTGCCAGAGGAGACATAAATGCTATGGGAACCAGGAGGTGACATAAATGCTAATAATACTCCCTCCATGGATTTAGAAGTCGTCTAGGACATGATTGTATTTACTAAGGAGTCATTAATTAAGAGGTATTTTTTCCTATCTACCCCTATTAAATACGGCTACGGGTGCATTCCATACGAAAAACAATCACAGTTCAAATGGCTAGCGCAGCGAGGCAAGTGTCCTGAGGTCCTAGGTTCGATGCCCTGGCGTGCACTTTTTTTTTGTATGACCTGCTCGCACAATTTTTGCACGGATGCATCTCTTGGCGGCGAGATTTTTGCGCAGATGTTTTGCTGCGAATTTTGGATCATGGCCTACTCATTTGGGCTCCCTGGAGCAAAGATTTCTGCTCGTTTGGGCTCCTGGCGACAGATTTTTGCACGGACGCATCTCCCTAGTGGCGCGATTTTTGTGCAGATGCTTGCATGCCGCCAATTTTGGATCTTCGTCTATGCATGCAGCTGCTGCGGCTGATGCTTGCATGCCGTGAATTTTGGATTTTGTGCGGCCGTGCGTGCGAGCGAGCAAGCAAGGAGAGAAAGCGGAGGGGACCACGGCGTGATTTACTCTGGTAACTAAATAAATGAGCCCGTTAACGAAGGGTCAGGGGTATTTGCGTCCAAAACAAGGTTAGCGAAGGAAAACGACTTCCTTTGCACAAATGACGCCGGTGCGTAGAACGACTACTTTTTCCGATACAGAGGGAGTATTTATTATAAGCTTAGTCAAAGATAAGCTAATTTAACCGGCATGGATCTTATAATTACATTCTTTTGTGGACGGAGGTAGTACTCTATCTGTCCCTAAAGAATGCAATTATGGGATTCGTGCTGGTTAAATTCTCTCAAGTTTGACTGAGTTTATAGTAAATAGTATTAGTATTTATGTCTTCAAATAAATTTATTATGAAAATATATTCTATAACTAATGTAATGGTAATTATTTTGTATAAACAATATTAGTACTTTTTATATAAATTCACTCAAAGTATAACTTGTTTGACTTTTCAAAAAATAAAAATTATATTTTTTTTTGTGGACGAGGGAGTATAAGGCAAGAGCTTTGTGTGACGAGGGAAGATGTGATGAGTCGGGCACGGACTTTCGGTGAGATCATGGATGACTCGGGTGTCTGAGTACTGTGTAGTAATCCTTCTGTCTTTAAATATCTATCGTTTTTATTTTTTGAGAAATAACTTTGACTAAATATATATAAAAATATTAATATTTATGATACATAATTAGGCCTTATTTAGTTTCTTCCCTAAAGTTTACTCCCTATCATATTGAATGTTTGGACACATGCATGGAGTATTAAATATAGACTAAAAAATAACTAATTGTACAAATTGCGACTAATTTGCGAGATAAATTTTTTAAGCCTAATTAGTCCATGACTTGATAATATTGTGCTACAGTAAATGTGTGTTAATGACGGATTAATTAGGCTTAATAAATTCGGCTCGCGAATTACTGAGGACTTATGTAATTTGTTTTATTATTACTATCCAAACAATCCCATGTAACACCCCGATGTGACATCCCACTCCCTGAATTTAAACACCACCTTAATATCATTAGATAGATATTTGAATCTAGTTTTTAATAAATTTATTTGGAGATATAAATGTTGCACATATTTTCTACCAATCGAATTAAACTTTTGGCACGGAAACCAACGACAACAGTTAATTGAGGACAGAGGGAATACCTTTTTTGCGTCTTTGTTTTTCTTCGGCTTTCCGATGGTACATAATTTTTTTATCTGACTACTTGATCGAGTAATGCATGAGATCAACATGTGGACTTGTGTGAAAGAAAAGTTGGTAAAGTGCTACCTGTGGATCAATGGAGGCCCAGCTCTGTAGTAACTACGGAGTCGTAGTAACTACGGAGCAGTAGTAACCAGGACGAGGATCTATCGCATCGCATCTTCTTCTCCGTGACCCGTTCCAATCGAAAATCATACACGCCATCCCTGTGGATCAATGGAGGCACAACACCATTCAGATGATTCAGACCTGTAACTCAAACAGCAGATGCACTTAAAAGGCCAGAAAAGAATAAAAGATAAGGAATAGTAACTCACAATTTTCATACCTTTAGCTTTACCGTTGGCAATTGAGGTGAAGCTGTCAGAGCATTTCCTCAAGGCTAGAATCTACTACTTCCTGACAAGAGCTGCAACTTCCTGAGCCACTGGCATTTGTAGATCCCGTAATGGGAATAGATAAGCTGAGACATTTTATAAAACAAAGTCGACATTCTGTTGCATTGAACAAATACAAAGATTGGTCAAACAACAAATAAATGGCAAGGAAGCAACAATGAATTTGGTTGCTTCATAACATTACATGAATCAGCTAAGCCGCTACAATGCAATGAAATAATCCCTGTGGTACTACAATCCTACATCAAGAAACAGCTACTAGCGATCTAATAACTAAACAATGTCATGTATCCAGGGTGACTTGAAGTTCTTGGACCATGGGTGCTCAAGCGCATCCGCCGCTTTGAGCCTCTTCTCAGGGCAGAAGGCCAGCAGGCCCGTCAGCACATCACGCCCTGTTCGCTTGAACTTATGAGCCTGGCTTATCAACCATGGAACCGTGTTTTTCTCTCACAACAAATCAGCTTCAGCCGGCTTATCTGCCGTAGAAACCATCAGTCTCTCACATCTGATTGGGGATGTCAGCAAATTGGCTCGACAGCAGCATTCTGACGTCGATGACCTTCCTAGCAGCTGGAATTCGACATCACGTGACTCGATGAACTGAATGAATGGCGTATTTTGCACTTCTAAGGAATCACCTGGAGCTAAAAATGATGCATAGGAAAGCTTGCTATGCATGTTGTAATGCTCATGAATGCTCTATCGCAAGTAAGCTGCTGAATACCCCCTGCAAAAGGGAACCTGAAAAAGTTTGATGTCAGGTTCAAAAAAAAAAGTTTGATGTCCAGGTTACAACTAGTCGATTTCAGAAACCAAGCTGCCATAAAAGGTGCAAAGCTCAACCGTGATGTCCTGAGTTCAGAAACCAAGCTGCCATATATAGTTCAAAATATCAGCGAAGGAAAGATTTAATATCATTTTTTTGGAATTTTTGGAACAAAACCTAATGTCTGGAATGGAATGAAGCTGAGACCTGCAACAAGGAAAGTTCCTTAAACACCTCCTTCCCATACCTGTCAAGTACTAACAAGCAATGGTGAGCCTACAGATTTTGACATAATTTTACATTAAGGTAACCAATATGTAGAAGTTTATTTAAATAAAAAGGGGGGGCAGACCAGTGCCGGAGGCTCCCACATGAGTGGGGTCTGGGGAAGGGAAAAACCGAGGCAAGCCTTCCCCCCACAAAATCTGCGGAGAGGCTGCTTCGAACCCGCGACCTGGTGACTCAGTGAGACAGCTCTCACCACTGCACCAGGCCTGCCCTTCAAGAAGTTTATTTAAATATACAAGACAAATTTAATTATAGACCATTTGCCAGAACCAAAACAAATAATACTACTACATGCTTATATATTGGTTTTTGAGGTCCCTAGAAGTCTTATGATGGACAGTGTCACCATATGTCATGATCCCTGGCTACACATTCCTGAAGAATTCTCTACATGTACAATCCACATACTCTTATATCACTAAATTGTCATTGTGATCTCTGCTGAATGCCATTGAAGCTGAATATAGGTTGAACCAACAATCTCCCGATGAAAGGTTGATAAGAAAGAAGTTTAATAAACTAAATACCACTAAACAAAGAGTCATTTCACGTAGATAATAACTGTAACGGAAAAAAAAACATTTGAAATAGACTTGATGAGAGGAATTTAGTGACACTCCACAGAGAAAACTGGAAACTAAAACTCTGCCCTCAAATGGATTGCAAACTATTCATAATATTCAACAGATCCTCATCAATATGCAAGATTCAGCTATTCGTTTCATCTGTCATTGGTAAAAGAGGACAATAAGACACCTAGTAAGAAAGGTCCGAAGTGAACTGACAAAAAGATGTGCTGAGTATGTAGTATTCTGTTCTTAACATGCCCTATGGGCTAGGCAGAGTTAACCGGTACCTGTTTGTTCGACTGGGTCAGCGAGAGAGCAAGTATCCTCTGTGACGATGCTTCCCGTCAGTCAAAGCACACTATGACATTGGCTCCAGCTCTGTAGTAACCAGGACGAGGATCTATCGCATCGCATCTGCTTCTCCGTGACCCATTCCAATCGAAAATCATACTCGCCATCCCTGTGGAACAATGGAGGCACAGCACCATTCAGATGATTCAGACTTGTAGCTCAAACAGCAGATGCACTTGAAGGCCAGAAAAGATAAGGAATAGTAACTCACGATTTTCATACCTTTAGCTTGCTTTACCGTTGGCAATTGAAGTGAAGCTTCAATTTTTGAGAGCATTTCCTCAAGGCTAGAATCTACTACTTCCTGACAAGAGCCGCAACTTCCTGAGCCACTGGCATTTGTAGATCCCGTACTGGGAATAGATAACAAGAGACAGTTTATAAAACAAAGTCAACATTTTATTAATTTATTGCATTGAACAAATATTACACTGATCAATTCCTGCTACGAAGATTGGTCAAACAACAAATAAATGGCAAGGAAGCAACAATGAATTAGGTTGCTTCATAACATTACATGAATCAGCTAAGGTGCTACAATGCAATGAAATAGTTCCTGTGGTACTACAATCCTACATCAAGAAACAGCTACTAGCGATCTAATAACTAAACAATGTCATGTATCCAGGGTGACTTGAAGTTCTTGAACCACGGGTGCTCAAGCGCTTCCGCCGCGGTGAGCCTCTTCTCAGGGCAGAAGGCCAGCAGGCCTGTCAGCACATCACGCCCAGTCTCCGACAGATCTGCCAAACACTCTGGATCAAGCTTTCCGGCTGCAGAGGTCATCCGATCTCGAAGCTCCGACATCTCGTCAAGCATCTCCTCACGTGTCTCCGCCTCGAACAGAGTCTCACCACTCAGAAGCTCCGCCATGACGCACCCGAGAACCCACATGTCGACACCCGGGCCGTAGTACCAATTGCCGTCGAGCAGCTCCGGCGCATTGTACTGCAGCGTCCCAACGGGGGAGGCCTCATGCGCCTTCTCGGCGGGCTTCTGTCGCGTCGCCGATCCAAAATCGCAGACTTTGAGCTCGCCGAAAGGGCAGACGAGGACATTCTCTGGCTTCATGTCCCGATGGATGAACCCCACACCATGAATCTTCTTGCCAGCGCTGACGAGCCGCCGCATCATCACGCGGACCACGTCCTCCGACAAGGGCCTCCACATGGAGTCGCGGAGGCTTACCCCGGCGTGGACCAGCTCCAACACAAGGTGGACGTCCCCGGTCCTGGGGTTGGCAGCGACATCATGGATCCCGATGATCGACGGGTGGCCGCGGCACGCGTGGAGGCAGCCGGCCTCCATGGCTAGCGCGCGGCGGTCAGGGGGCCGTGGCCGTCGGGCCCATCGCCGCGGATCCATTTGAGCGCCACCTTCTTGCCGGTGCGGCGGTCGCGCCCTGCGCACGACGCCTTCGCGCCCTCGCCGAGCACCTCGAAGAGCTCGAACTCATCGATGCTCCGGGGATCGCTGTGCCGCGGTCGCTTGTTCGCGTCGGCAGCAAATGGTTCTTGGTCCGGTGCCGGGCGCTTGCGAGCCATCGGCACCGCCGCCACCGCCGCAGACATGATCTGAACTCGAGATTGAAGAGGCAGTGGGGATCTGGGCGCGAGGAGGCGGGATCGAAAGACGAGTACGGAGAGAGCGAATTGTGAATCGAGATGGAAAGAAGCGATTGGGTGAAGCCAATTGAAGGGAAGGGAAGGGGGGATCCGACAGCTGCGATGGCGGTGGCGTCGCTCTAACGCTTACGACTCCGACTCGAATTCAATTTTTGGTTCGAGTAGGATAAGGGCCTCGCGTTTCGGCTTTTCGCGGGCGCGCGAAAACTGCTTGTCTGCTTACGACAGATGAGAAGATAAACGATACAGATTTACCTTACTACTACCTACAGTAGTGTCCTCACTAGCTAATTAGCTCAAACCAATCTAAAGCAATCGAAACTCAGTGATGGTCCAAATATATTCAACTCTTTCAGATATGCACGAAAGGATAGGGACTAGGAAACTTGAGGTAGACAAATTGGGGAAGGAAAAAAAGAATGTTGCAGCAAACTGTTCGCGAGCTGAACCAGCTAGGGATTCCAGGAACCAATCCCTGATTCAAATGGTTTGGAAGCAATGCAAGAAACGAACCTGGTTGGACCGGCCGCGCGCAGGCCGCCGCGCTGACGAACAGAGGTGAGCACCGAGGGAGCGTGAGCGGAGGCGGGCGCGGCGTGGGGAGCCAGAGCGAGCGCCGAGAGCAGCCGACGCGGGCACGAGCGTGGGGAGCCGGAGCGAGTGCAGGAGAGCAGCAGGCGCGGCGCAAGAGGAGAGCGGTGGAGTGGAGTGCGGCGCTTCCTCTGTCGATGCGCTCCAAGGGCAAAATGGTAAATTTCGCATTCACATCAGCCTTATCCCGCCATAACCCACCCGCGCCGCTAGGTTTTGAACGCCGGCAAAAGTGACGCTCCTATCGCATTTTAGAACCTCCTCTCTTTTCCCAAACCTTTCCACACACAAGGGATTGATTTTATCCTTTCTTTTAGAGCATGCGCAGTGTGACAATAAAATCGATGTTTGGAGAGAAGGTCCCAGCATCGTTTTTCATGCTGCAGTGTGCGATGCTGGGATAAAAAATGCCAGCATCGACAGTCATGGGTGCTTGGTTGTTAAAAAATGTTTCATCTCTCTTGTGCTTGTATGTACGTCAGGCATGGGGAGTTGTATAGCGAAGCTTGAACACTGCAGCATACAGAAACGATGCCAGTTTATCTGACATGTGAACAAAATTTTTGAGGCATCGAGGTCTGCCACTGCGGGTGCTATATCCCTATCCCATACTCATTTCCATATATCCAAACGTCACCTCTTGGTCTACATATCTGATCGGCGAGGCTTTGCTGATCTCATCGATGCTACTTTATGACATTTCGTTGAAATTTGCCTTGTGCTGATGCTTATGGTTATTTATTACGAGAGGAAAACACTATTCGTTCGCTGAAAAGTACTGCTGAAGTAGTGCTGCAGAATAGGGCCACGGACTTTCAAAATTTATTTCCTCTTTGTTTGCACATATATAATTGCTATGATGGAACAAAATTAGAAGATGCACCAAAAAGCATCAATAAAAACCATGGAAAAAATAACTCACACGAACAAAAGGAATCATTATGTGGCGAAGAAAAATATATAACAATCCGGTATTGAAATTAAATTAAATTTACATGAACAAGAAAACTTCATTTTGATGAATAAAAAATAACACGACTAAAATTACAATGAGCACAAAGCATATTACCATAAACCAAAAAATAATAAGGTGATGAATAAAAGAAGATGAAGGTATCATGGATAATGGTATTGAATCTGTCTACCTCTCACTTGGTGTTTTGGGGGCCAGAACACTTGATTTTTTTCTTCACATCTTCCTCCTCCCAATGTGCCGCCGTTGTCGCCATGGCCCTGGTAGTAAGGTGGTGATCTCCTTCTTCCCCTCCCCCCGCAGCCATCATGGCCCTGGTCACCCTTGCCCCAACCCGTCCCGATCGTCTCTCTCCGCTTGCTCGGCCGCAAGCAGCATCACCAGCCTCCGCCTGCCTCTTGTTTAATTCCACCGCCGCCTCTCCTCTCCCTACCACCGGGCTACTCGCTTCCTCCCAAATTTTCTTCTAAGCTCATTTCGTTGAAATTTGTCTTGTACTGATGCTTATGGTTATTTATTCACGAGAGATGGAGAAGAAGAGAAAATTGAATGTTAGAACACTCGAGTGTCATTTAGCTTTTCTGTAAACAAAAGCCAATGAGCAAAAACAAATTGCCACAGTGAAATATATTTGCCTTGTATGTAAGAAATTGAAAATTCTAAGACAAAAAAGAAAGGACCCCCCCTAACACAAAGAAAACTATTTGACATCAGCAAAACCATATGTTGACATCATCAGATCATTGTGCACATAAGTGGGTCGACTAATCTCAAATTTTTCGTTCAGCAAAAGAGGAATAAGATTTTGTGCAACAAGATCTCGCAGATGGTCCACGTCGGGACTCCAAGTCTGATTTGATATTTTTATTTTTAAATTAGCTTTTCGCATGAATAATCTTATTAATAATAAAATGCAAAATACTCCTCTCACCAATTGAGATGAGATTTAAATTTCACTATTTCTATTGATAGAATTTCCAGTTGGCGAATTTTATTTTCCATGTATGTTTAAATAGTCATCGCTTTTCTATTTGAGCTCCGTGGACTTATATGAAAATCGCCGAGCTCAACAAGATCTACGACTTTGTAGCTTACAACTTTTGTGTTTCAAGCCATATTAGTGTTGAAATAATTGGTGCAATGTTTAGGCATACAACTTATACCGATGCAATGTTCACATCTATAGCTTCTCTTAACACGGGTATGAACATTGTAAGATCAATTTGACACCAAGACGACATCAAACGAAAGTGTTGTGAACTACAAAGTTGTAGATCTCAATGGTACTACCATAATCATATAAAACTTATCTTCAAACAACATCATATAAAATGTCATAATTATTTAATTTATCAGAGATTTGCTACATAGGGGAGTGAATAAATTGTCATCAATTTATCCAATTGTAGCATAGAATATCTTACAAATTATAATATTTCCATATGATGCGGATGAATTTAGTGCTCAATGAATCAATAACTTTGTAGCTCACATCGTTTTTGTTTGAAGCCATCTTAGTGTTGAAATAACCAATACAATGTTTAGGTTTACAAATATGTATGCGAACATTGTACCGATTATCTCTGCAACAAGATGGCTTCAAACAAAAAGTTGCGAGATTAAAAGTTTTAAATCTCATCGAGCTCTACAAGTTTATATAAATTTTATCTCCACGCAAGCTAATATAGAAAATGTATGATTTTTTAAGAAATATTACAAAGAACAATAATATAAATTCAACCAATTCAATTGGTGCAAAGGGAAATTCTACCAATAAATCTCACCAATTTAATGGACGTGATGAGTATTTTTTGCAAAAAAATATCCAACCATTTATTTTTGTAAAAAGTTCATTAATAGAAAAGCAGAAAAATAAATCTAATATGGTGTGAAGAGTGATTTTTTGGGCTTTGCCATGGTCACGGATGTCCTTGTTCTGTCTTGGTCTAGGAGATGGGCAGAAGCTTTGTCGCAGGCAGTTGTAATTGGTAGCAGAGATGCTTCGGGCATTGAAGTGTATGTTGCTTTGGTTTTTTCGTAACATTTGGGTGGCATTATGAGATTCTTTGTATTCCTTAAAACTACTGCAAATAGGTTTAAGTATCTAAATGGTTTGACTTTCCATGACCATGTATAGACATTAAAAACATACAATGGAGGAGATTAGAGGTGGATAGGATAGATTAGGGCGAGCTATATTTTTCAATGAATCCACTAGATATAGATATATACTATGTATAGACATTAAAAAACATATAGACATATACTATGTATAGACATTAAAAAAACATAAGAACATGCCCCTAATCCAACCAAAAAATCCATTACACAAAAGAGGAAGCTCTCACAAGTTACAAGAACAGGTACACGGCAATGGTAGAGCCATACGGTTCTGTATTACTAGTACATGGCTCGTGCAAGAAAAATTCTGCACCAAACTCATGCTAGAAACAACACCTGCTCTAGCTCGGCGCCCCCCCCCCCCCCTCATGCTAGGCAGCTTATGAACCTGCACAACACAACGCCACCCCCTTCACTCTGCAAGTGCCGATGCTGGAAAGTTCATGCATGGGCGTCAAGCGTTCGATCTTCTCGGCGGCTTGGGCGAATCGCTCGCTCTTGAGCTGAACACTGATCTTGGGTACTGAGAATCGACCATCATCTCCTGTAAATTTCGCATCGAATGCTCGTCTCAGTTATGCTTAGAATTGAAGTTCGTTATTAGTCGTGTTGGGATTTTTTTTTTTTTTGAAACGGAAGTGTTGGAAAAATGTTTGGTTGTTATGGACGGAGGATGCTTACGGCGGCGTGCGACCGTGAGACGTTGCTGTGGAACGGCGAGCTGTGCATGCCCATGCCGCCGCCGCCGCCGCCCCTGATGGCGCCGCAGTACTGCATGTTGTCCTCGCCGAGCGCGCGCAGCCGGTTGAGCTCCGGGAGCACGACGGCGCCGAGGTCCGGCCGGTCCTTGCGGCGCAGCTCGCAGCAGCGGAGCGCCATCTCGGCGAGGCACTGCGCCTCCTCGAGGGGCCAGTCCGGCACGGCGGGGTCGAGCATGTCCAGCAGCGCGCCGCGCTCTATGGCGCGGCCGACGTGGTGCGACAGTCCCATGGGCGGCTTCGCCGTGATGATCTGCAGCAGCATGACGCCGAAGGAGTAGATGTCGGACTTGACGCCGAGCATGCCCGTCTGCTGGTACTCCGGGTCGATGTAGCAGAAGGTCCCCGCGGTGGACGTCATCCGGTACTGCGTCACGGTGTCGGCGACGGACGGCGGCACGAGCCGCGCCAGCCCGACGTCGCTGATCTTGCTCACGTAGTTGCGGTCCAGCAGGATGTTCCCCGGCTTGAGGTCGCGGTGCACCAGCGGCTCCGGCTTGGTC